GACACACAGATTGTAATTCCTATACATTGGTGCGCAGAGTGTTTCTAATATAAAAACCACAGTGAAAACTGTCGTCCAGATGTTCATCTGTTTTCCAGTTAATGAGCCAACGCTGTCTGCACCTCTGTCTTTCAACCATCAGCTCTTCTTCTCAAAGCTTTGACATCTCGTCTTGAAAAATTGCATACACTCTCCTTATGGATCAGTTTTTTTTTATTTTTTATGAAGACATCTCAAACATGCAGACGGATAAATGTTTAGAGGGGAATCATGGGTGAGGGAGTCATGAGTCAGATGTGCAGGGTGATGTTATTGTCTTATGCTCGGTACCACCAGGGAAGACGATGCGGTGGTCTGCACATGTGACTTCAGTTCTCCTCAGGTGGACTGAAAACAACTGGTCTCTCAAAGCAGAACTGTCGTATGTGGTTCTTGCATTGAGAGCTACTGTGCTCGAGTTTAAAGAGAAAATTTAAACATTACACAAAGAAAGGTTTTTGAACAACGTACCTCCCACACTATACGATGTGAAGATCCCACAGCTCTGTGTTGATGCCACCATGGGCCGCTGGTTCTCGTACACACTCTCAGCAGACTGTAGTGACACACTCTGATTTCCCTGAAGAGCCCGGTGAGGGTTTACACCCACCATGAGATTACAATGAGGGTCTCTAGAAAATTATGGACAATAATGGTGTTTTAATTGAGGCCTCAGGTGTCCCTCAACATACGCATTAACACCATCATGATGTAATATTTACTCTGCAATTTCCGCAGTATGTTTTCCTCACTTGGATATTTGCGCTGCATAAACATTATGATTGCTCTCACTCATTAATTTCCCAACCGGTTTTCAGGAGGTTTCGTATTCGCAAAAAAAAAAATCCAACAAAAACTCATCTGTTGTTAAACAGGTGTCGATGCAGGCGGGTTCATTCGAGTTCAACCCATCCATCATAAAAAATAAATCCTAATTTATTTTTCCTGGATAGTGTATTGGCTTTATGAGTGTGTCTGTGAGGCTTTTTTATGTCTGCATCTGTTTTTGTCTTGCTTTAAAAAAGAACCACTGTTCATGGTGCTTTTCCGTCCTAAGAGCTGTACAATCATGGAGAAAACACTGTTGTGTGTGTAGATCCTCCACTGAGGTGCTATGGAAACATCCTCATGTAGGTCACCATCAACTGATCTATGAACAATGAATGGTGTGTGTCAGCTGCGACCCTTAAGAATGAGAAACACAGATAATAGATGGATTTTTATCTTTCACATTTGCTTTTTGTAATCCTTTTCACCCGTGTATGTTACACAAAAACTACTGAACCGACCACGTGGGTCCTGATCGGGGGGCAAATCTAGGATTTATGCATTACTTTCGCTGACATCTATTTTTCATAAAATTGTTACCCCCAGGGAATAAATCGTGGACCTTTACGTAAAAAAATCAGAAATCAGAAAAGGGATATTCATGAGTTTGTGAAATTTGATGCAGATTGAATTTATGGGACCTGTTGGGCCTTGGCAGAGGGATGTGCTCTACTTTCTCATTAATCGCCTGGAGCACGCCACACTGCATTTCACCACACAAGTACATTGTGAAGCACATGTGACAAATTATCTGCTGAATCATGGATCCCTGAGTTCCTTTCAGGTAACAGATCAACAAGTGGCAGAAAGGTCAGACAGAAATGCATACATGCCAAACTAAGAGAGGGTGTGAATTTTCAGGTGCAGGAGAAAATAATAAATTTCAGTTCCCTTGTGTGTGTGTGTGCGTGGTTTCTCAACTAATGTAAACGGAACAGAATGGGCCCAATCAGACCGGTTTGTGTATGTGTCAGTGGGAGTGTATCAGAGAGAAAATCATATAAAAGACATTAGGGGCTGTCTGGTGTTTAATACCCATCCTTCAGTTTGTGTCTCGACGTGTCAGCTGGTTCCTCTGCTCTCGGTGCTGCAAACGTTTTGTTTTTTGTCTCCGCTCTCCTCCATCATGCTGTTTCGAGCACTGCTCCAGACTTCGCTGGTTCTCTGGTTGGTTCAGCAAACTCTGCAAGGCGGTAAGAAAGACATGGTATTTCAACTCTGGTTGTATCCTGAAGAAAATTACGGCTTTATGATCTATTCTCTTCATTTTTTGTCTAGATTATAGTTCTATAATACAATATATGCTTTTCTTTGCTGTTGTTAAAAAACATCTACTTGCATCTAACACACATTTGATGGAGTTTGCACAGACATATCTCGATATTTGATCCCCCCAAAAAAATATTTGACTGAAAAGACAATATTGCTGCAAAAGTCAAAAAGTTGCTGAAATATACAAAATAATTTTGACTTTATCAGAATAAATAAAAAAATGAATAAACAATATAATTATAGTAGCACACACAAACCTACTTTGTCTGGCTTATTTCACTGAATATAGCAAGTTATACCAACATAAAAATGTAAAATTAGCCAAGAAATGTAAATGTATTTATTTATTATTCTGATCAGGTAAAAATGATGGGTATCATTATTTCCCCCTAATTTTTCAAATACGTAATTATTATTCAGTTCTCAGTGGTAGGTACATGCATTTTAGTCAGTACCAAATTATTCCTTTTTTTATGAATAGCTAGAAAATGTGGACATTTAATAAAAATAATGTTTACATACTGAAACTATTTGGCTAAGAGGACAGTATTGCTGCAAAGTGTGTGAAAAGTAATGTAGTCAAGTAATTTGTTCTAATATGTGGTTTGTAACATATAGTACAAATATGATGTACAGTTCTGTTGGATCAGTGTCTTCAATGACTCTCTCTCACTCACTTGTTAAATATCACTTGTGTGAGATGGAGGGAGAGAAAAGTGCTGAGCTCTGTAACATCAGTGAGCCCTGCGCCAAGTCCCCACATTTCATCTCAACTTATTTCTTTGAATCACAAAGTAAAATAAATGTGACGACCAATTGTGAGAAGAACAGGCACCACAGAGCTGTCTGTCTGCCTGCCTGTCTGTCTGTCTGCCTGCCTGTCTGCCTGCCTGCCTGCCTGCCTGCCTGTCTGTCTGCCTGCCTG